CAACTCTCGGGTCTACACAGATACTGTACATGGGTAGGGCGAGGTCTAGGGATCGAACCCTGGGATCTGCGTCTGTTACTGCAAAAAGGTGAAAAACGTTTCACCTAGTAGGCCCCAAACTTTTAGGTTCAGTGTTCCAGGGTCGTAAAAACCTAAAGGAAAGGAAGTGGAACAATGGACATGAAAATTTAGGGACCATGGTTTTCCTGTTTAGGCTGTGTAGGGGCCAAGTTTTTCTAGTTTTTCAGGTGTGTTATAGCTCTGCTCATAACAACAAATGCTGTTTAATCATTTAATGTCAAGGGACGCTGGACCCGGTTTCCAGCAGGTGCAGCTCCACACCAATGGAACGGGGCCATAAAAAACTGGGGGTACTAGAGGGGGGGGGGTGGTCTTACCAGCACTCCTTTATTCCCTGTCGCCGATGTTGATTTTTATTTTTATTATTTTTATTATTTTTATTATTTTTATTATTTTGATTATTATTTTTTAAGACTAGTTTGGGGCCAGCGGTGGTTTGAGGAAAGGAAGCAAGAGGAAGCGGACCATATGAGGGGGGGAAGGGAATGAGCAGGGAAGCAATACGTTTCGGTTCCGGGGAGCATACTAAGTACACCCAGTGACACTTCTGTCTCCTGCTTATGCCTTGGAGATAGAGCATCCACCCCCCTTTATGCCACTGCAGTTTTGCCTGTATCTCAAAAGCCTAAAAGACGAGTTTCAGGATTCAAACTCTGGCAGCACGGATTGCTCCCGTAAGTGAGGATTGACTATCAGGGAAGAACCTGCCTGTGCTTCTTCTCACCCTTTGTAAGTCTTGATTTTAATATAAGGGGTGGGGGAGTAGGCCCTAACGTAATTATATTGTATCTATTAGGACTTGAAGCCATGACTTGTTTATGAACAGATACATGTGTGTCCCATTGTGTACTGTTCAGCCAGATGGCAGTTACACCCATGGCCCTCTTTCAACAGCAATGAGACCAGATTACTGGTGGGTCTTGACGGTGAGCTCTCCCCTCCTTGGAAAGAGATGGAAATGAGCACCAGCTAAAAAGTGAAAAAAAAAACGCTCGCTACACCTTGGAGAAAAAACATCGCTCTCTGCTTGTTCCACCAGTACCTCTCCCAGCGGTGCATTTGTATACAACCCTGAGTTTTGGGGACTTATGCCTACCGGACCTCTTTGGCTGACGACACCAGCCAAAAGGGAAAAAACTTCAAAAAAGTGCCATGCCGTTTTTTCCCCCTTTTTTGGGCGTGGTGCATTGGTCCAGGTTGGAGAAACGAGGCTCGGAGGTGCTCGTGGTTTTAGGGCTGCTTTTGTAACAAGAGAAGTCTTTTCGTCTTTTTGAAAGAAAAGCCATGTGTTTTGCTGTGATGGTCCTAAAGCTGAGAATGAGGGGAAGAGCCATGTTTGCTGAATTCAGAGTCTGGTTTTGGGATGAGATGTGGAGGCATAGATGTCTTTTCAGACGCACATGAAAGGTAACGGGGGGGAAAGGGTGAGAGGAGGAAGGGTTTAGGGGAAGGGGAGGGGAGGAAGAACAGGGAGAGGGAGGAGGTAAAGCGAAACTCAGCAAAGACGAAGAGAGGTGAGAAAAGGAAGTGAAAAGGGAGAAGTTGGTGGGGGGAAAGTATGAACAAAAGGGGGGAAAGGGAAAAGGGAAAAGGGGAGGGAAGGGAAGGGAAGGGAAGGGAAGGGAAGGGAAAAGACCAACTGTCCTAAGCTCAGTTGGTACACCCCTGAACTGTTGAAAAAGAGGCCTGAGTTCAAACTCCACTGGAAGCAGATAAGTAAAACATTAGAATTCTGAATGAATGACCTAGGGACGGTCAGTTCGATGATCATATCTCAAGGCCATCTCCTTTTTAAGGGAAAAAAAGAAAAGAGGGAAGGAAAGGAAGAAAAGAAAATGAAGGGAAGGGAAACGAAAGTATGCAAGGCATTGCAAGCGCATCGAGAACTCGAATCGATACTTGTTTGAACAATGTTTAGCCAAGAATAGCATTGGTGTTATTACAGAACCTTGGCTTGTTTCAATGTAGTCCTACAGACTCCTACTTTGTTTGGCTCGTCGAGAAAGTGTCATGCTGAACCTGGACATATATCTGGATGGTCTTGACACTGTCCCTTTGTATCCTGTCTGCTTGAATTTGACTATGAGCTTCGAGAGAACCGGTTGCTAACAGTTGTTTGTATCGCAATGCTGGCCAACAGATTTTCAGATTTTCTTTGCGATTTGTTTTTTAGAAATAAAATAATTATTCAGCGGAAACATTCGCATTCTGTGCCTTGAAGATGCAGTGTTTCCTGACTTGCCCCTCAAAGACGTGAAATTTCTCGTGGACCCTGCCACTGTGCAATCTTTGTGACTGGTCCCTGTCCGATGGCTGTGCAATTTGTTGCCATACCCCTGTGCCTCCAACGACTGCGCCTGCAAAGCTGCATGCTGGATCTGCCAGAACAGCAGGGACCAATGGCCAGAAGCACCGGGGCGTCCAGTGAAGTTGAACCGGCATACAGAAAAGACGCTGGATCCCATCCATGCACTGGATATTCAGCAAATTTGGACCGCTGCCAGAAGGGCATTTGAAGGGCAAATCAGGAAATACTGCATCCTTGAGGGGCAATGTTTTTTTTTTTTTTTTTTGTGCAAAATGTAATGTAATTTTCGTTTTCTATTCATTTACATTCCTGGCAGTCTGGATGGTCATTCAGAAGTCTGTATCTTGTATAATCATAGTCATAACTAAGAGCCTACCCCCCTTACTGGGTGCTTTTGTGTTGAGGGCTCCTTATTTGCCCCTTACCAGATGCTTATTGAAGATGAACATGACGCATGCACAATTAAGTATGACACACATAACTAGAGAAATTTCCAATTTCCAAACTAAAAAAGGAAAAGTGGACTGTTGTACAACTGACCATGTTTGTAATGAAACTGTGACTTCTTTTGAAATTTCTTTTTCTCCTTGCAACACAGGCGACGATATTGAGGAACTATGAGACGACATTGGAGCAGTGCGACGCTCTCGATTACCATGATTTCATCATCTGTGCTGTTCGTCTGCTCAGCAAGCATGATGAAGGTTGGTGAACCCTTTCACTGTGAACCTCAGGAAGGCTGGGTGCAACCACCACAGGCCCTGACCTGAGCTGCTCCTGCTAGACCTAGGCCTTTGGCTGCAGGTCCCCGTTCGTCTGCTTAGCAAGCATGATGAAGGTTGGTGAACCCTTCACTGTGAACCTCAGGAAGGCTGTGTCAAACCATCACAGCCCATGACCTGAACTGCTCCTCCCGACCCTAGGCTTTTGGCTGCGGCTCCATCCTGTACCCTGACCGCTAGCCGTTGACTGAAGGTATGTGTGGCGGCCTCCTCGTACACGGCTGGGTGGTGTTTTACATTTTACTGTTGTTTGTTTCTGTTCGTTAATTGGACTCTGGTTTCACATCAAACATGGTTAGAACCTCGCACCAAGCGCGGATGTTGACAAATTATCTCTGGACTCCGCAACGTCCAGCCTCGAGACCTATTCGAATTGTATATGATTGATGCTGTTGCAAAAAGTATCACTGTAGCATCAAATCAGCGTACAAGCATCCGCAGCGGCGCAAGTACATGAAAAAACGTGAAAGACAAAGACAGTATTTCTCAGTCTCCAGTGTGCTTGGTTAGGGTTGTGCTCCCATAGTTGTGACTTTGATGGTTCTTTTTTTTCGAAGGTTGGGCTGATGGGGGTCAGTGAAATTCGGACAAAACAGTTTGTCACAGCCCCTGGTTTCCACTTCTCCCTCTCTTCCTACGGTTCACTGCGTAGTTCTGTTTGACGATATATGATGATATCTATACTGCAGGTTCACACCCCATCACAAGCCAGCAGAACACCCACAAAACAGAGAAAGGTCTGTCACAGCCAGAAAATACACTCCAGAAAGAAAGAAAGGTCTGTCACAGCCAGAAAATACACTCCAGACACGCTGCTGGCACTGCAGCATGGCAGTGTAGTGACAACCCCGATCACCGACGCTTGACCTGACTGAAGAAAACCGTAGCAGGGTGCTATTGAGGTCGTGGTGTATATTGTCAAACAGAACTGCCCGGTAAACTGTAGGCAGAGAGGAGGAAGAGGATAACAAACAAGGGGCTGCGGCAAACTGTTCCGTCGGAGTTTCACTGACTCATTAGGGGGATGAACCCTCTATAGTCTGCCCAGGCCGGGGTCCGGCACTGGCCTGCCTGGGTATAGGTTGTCATCCCCCGGTGACAGACCCCCGGTCGGGGTCCGGGGGCGCTGGGGGTGGGACCCCCAACCCTGGAAGGGTGGGGTTGGGAAAAAAAAAAAAAAAATCTGAAAAAAAAGAAAACATGGCAGGGTGCGCAGGAGAGGGGGTGGTGGGGAAGGGAAGGAGGGAGAGATGAAGATGGGTTTCATTAAAGAGGTTCAGACTTTTGCCGAGGCCCCACTGAGCTACAATTGTGCCAAGCCAGAATGGCCCTGGTTTACATTCGGACAAGTCTGTTTGTTTTTTTTTGTGTGTGTGCGTGTTTAACAAAAGACAGGACCTTAAAGGTAACTTAGGTAGTACAAACCTGTTTTTTCTACGTGCACATGATACTGAAAGACAAAAGGTCCCCGGGAAGAGGGGGCCAGTGGGTCCAAAGGAAAATTTCCCCGCGCGCAACTGTTCGTGCACAGGTCAAGAGCTCCCAAAAGGAAGCTTTTTGAGGGGCAACACGATAATGTTAGGGGTCTGTCGTTTCTGTTTCTGGTTTTCGTCCGTTTTGTTTTTCTTCCTTTGCTTCCATTTTGGTTGTTTTGGAACTCTTGTGCTGTGCAAAATTGCGCTGCGTCTGTTCTCGTTTGCCTTTGCTCCCATTTTTGTTGTTTTGTGGTGTTTGATTTACACACACACACATGCCTCGCCGTGTTGCACAATTTCTTTATCCGGTATTGTGTTAGAAGAGAGGGCCCATGGTTGTTCAAATACAAGCACACCTCTCGGCCATGTGGGTGAGCAGTGCACATGTTACTGTTTGTAAACAGGCAACAAGCTTGAATTGGGGCGGAATCAGATGTGGGTCTAGGCCCTTTTTAAATGACGAAAAACAAAAGTTAACAAAACCTAAGTAGACAGGGAAAACGGCTTCCAAAAACATGAAGTACATTGGAGTTCTATCCCTTGGGAGCACGGTCTCTTTGGTTCTCCTTCTTTTGGGAAGCATATGGGGGGTGGGAGGGGGCTGTCCAACAGCCCAGCGCACATAGCATCACAGGCATACCCCAGATTGTACAACCCAGCACATATAGCATCACCCATCTATGCCACATTGTGCCACCTGGCCCACTTACTACCCTCCAGTCTACATACTGTGACCCAACCCACGTAGTGCCCTGTAGCCTGACCACCCAGTCCACATGGCACCACCTATTGCGCACACCACATAACAAGATGCTGCAGCCGGACCACCCAGTCCAAAGAGAGGCGGTTAATGGAGACGCTAATCTTCAGACAACTTGTCATGCCATTTGTGAGTCCAAACGGACTACCGAACTGTTGGTGGGGTTAGGCCTGGGAGTCGCTGCCATACGAGTTACATTTGCACCGTAATAATTATTCTAAATGGCACAACATGTTATTTTTCATTTTTCTGTTATCTTTCCCTTATACAGTTGGCATGGACCCTACAAGTTCTTTTTTTCAGATTTTTTGTTGAAGCCTTGGGAGGAGATGAGTGTGGACACTCCAAAATTTGTGGCCCCTCCTCCGGATAGCTGGCCAGGGTACTGGTGGGTTTAATACAAGCCTGGTTTACGTGTACGCAATGCGTTGAGAGTTTGAACCGTCCCATTGTCGTGCACCTTGGCCTGTGTATGGACCGGCCTGAGATAACTGCTGAAGAATGCTGAATGCCACCAAGATCTACCAAACAGGACCTTCCCTTCGATGCAAATCTCTGTTTTTTTTTTTTTCTCAGAGAAGCTGTGCTGTAAGAGTATAAGGTGCTGGTCCTTCGGGATATGTGTTAAAATTGGAACGATAAAGAGAAGATTAGCATGGCCCCTGCACAAGGATGACACACATAAATCGAGAAATGGTCCAAATGATCAAATCTGAAAAAAAAGGAAAAAAAACTTAAAAAAAGGAAAAAAAAAAGAAAAGAACTAGGAAGATTCTCACACCCGGAACCCTGCCCGGGGGTCATACCTGGCCGGGTACCCAGGCGTTTACCTGGGCAGAAGTTGGGTGCCCAGGCGCCCGGAAAAACAGCCTAGGAAAAGAAAGTATAAGGTGCCGACTTCTTTCTCCATGGCTACGAGAGGACTTAGTGTGGATGTGTACAAGGCACATCTAACCACTTCCTGACCAGACATTTGCTCTTCTTCACACGTTCATGGTACAGTGCTGCCATGGGCATGCTACTAGGCCCACAGCGTGGGCCCACGGTCATGGACCCATGCGCGTGCCCTCATCATGGGCCCATACCTGGACCCATATCTTCCTGCATGGGCCCACCTCATGGACCGATACGTTTGCCCTCCTCATGGGCCAATACGTGGACCACCTTATGGGCCGCATATCGTATGTGCATATTTCAATGCAATGGCTTGAATGTTAGCCCATGTCATGGGCTCAGGACGTTGGCCCATGTCATGGGCTCAAAACGTGAGCCCATGTCATGGGCTCAAAACGTGGGCCCATGTCATGGGCTCAAAACGTGGGCCCATGTCATGGGCTCAAGACGTGGGCCCATGACATGGGCTCAAGACGTGGGCCCATGACATGGGCCGGCGCATGGGCTCATGATGTGGGTCCATGATGCTGGCCCATGCGTATGGGCATATGGTAGTGGCCTCGTAACATGGTCGCATTGGGCATACATTGCAATACTGCATGACCATCGATGTTCACTGCGCCTTGGTTGTATATTGTATGCAGCGTTCTTCATGGAGTTATGGACAACTAAGTTGGCATGTTGACCAAACTGTCCTTGCGGATTCCGCTTTTGCTTCCTAATGGGGGATTGCTGTTGTATCCTGTGGACTGCCCCTTGTCCCACAGGGAATTGAGTGAAGTTTTCTCTATGCTAGAAAATATTTCACCTGAACTGCCTCTTGTCTTATGCCTCTTGAGTACTGACTTTTAAGAACGACGCTCTGAACATAAAAACTCAATGATCATCATGCACAGTGGCAGATGTGTGTACTACTCAGTTGACAGCAAGGTGCGCATTTCAGACCCTTTCTGGGCAGGGATTATGCTGAAATAGATTTAACAGAACGACTATCGTTACTTATCTTATCCTTTTCGTTATGTACTGAGAATTGTTTTGTCAGAGGAGACACGGGCAGGGTGTGGCAATAGACCATGATTTTGGCCCGAAGGGGATTTCATGTCCCTGGCTGTCAGATGAATGTCACAGACCTCCACGTGGTGAATGATAATGAATCAAGGGGACTCTGAACCCCATCTTGAAACTTTTTCTTTCTTTTCTTTTTTCGAGTTTACAAAAGGCATGACATAATGAAGATGTCGGGCTTAGCCAGAAATTCAATGATGCATGGCCACGTATTCAATGATGTGTGAGCATTTATTGATGGATCGATTCGAGTTTCACCAATCGAGTATGTTAATGTGTGTGAGTGAACTCAGTGAAGAATTTGATTGGATCCTGCAAAATTTTGTAAGGAGTATTTTGCATCGTCAAACACGTCGACGGCTGATCAAAAATTTTGGTGTTGTGCACAATGGTTGACTTGTTGAATTGTTTGACTTTTGCACTTGCAGTGCTTGAGCAATGCCAAAGAACTTGGACGCATGTGATGGTTGACGAGTTTCAGGATACAAGCGCCATGCAATATAAGTTCTTGAAGTTGATTGCATCGCATGGGAGGTTGACAATTGTGGGAGATGATGACCAGGTCTGGTGGCCAACTCTTCTCACCTGCCTTTGGGTTTTACTTTGTTTTCAGCTGGAAAGAAACATAAACAGTCAGATCTCATTCCAGACTCATTCCACTCCCCATGAAACCATTCAACTTTGTTTTCAGCTGG